TAGAAAGACGGCAAATGGATCCATGGAAAGTCGTGAGAGTCTCGGCTTGGTTCCCATCGTCAGGCCGCTTATGACCCCTGCCCTCCCTGGGAGCATAAGGAATGTGTGAAAACGCGGCAGCAACACCCGCATGAGCAGCAGGGACTCAGGCTACAGGGACCCTCCACGAGGCCGTCTCCAGATGAGGTCAGCGGCTCAGCCCGACCCTGTGTGGTCCCAGCTGTCCCCCTTCCCATGAATGGCAGACACCGAGGGCCCTGACTGCTCTGTGACAAACCCAAAGGAACAGTGTTGGCCTCCCTGAGGTGTGGTCATCAGGACACAGACCACACTCCTCTCAGTACCCGTCCTTCTCCACCACCAGCTCTCACCACCTGTCCCGCGGTGCGCAGTCCACATCCCAGAGCCCTTGAGTCTCCATTTCCACCTTCACCATCCTCCTGCAGGCCCTCTGAGCAGTCCCCAGCCCGGAGCTCTCTGCCAGCATGTCAGCTACCTGGACTTCCCTTTCTGCCTTCCCAGGAGCAGGAACACCTCACCACCACCTTTTCAGGTTCAGCTCACCCTGCTCCTGCCTTCCTCACCCATGTCACCTATCTTTCCACCGCCCACAAGCACAGCCCAAACACCTGAACCTGTTCTTGTCAGTCTCATGGGTCTCATTTCATCCCACATCCTGCACACCCATGAGCTCCCCACCCACAAACTCCCCTCCCTCGAGCTCCCCGCCGTGCAGCTCCCTCCCCAGAGCTCCCATGAGCTTCCCACAGCCCACGAGCTCCCCCTCAGTGCGCTCAACCCTGATTTCATGACACAGAACATCTACAATTACCTGAAAGAAAATGCCAGTCCACCCCCAATTCACAGACAATAAAACTTCCCTGTGAACCTCGGTAATTACTTGGGTGTCGTTTCTTATTATCTGCATTTTGAAATGCGTTTTCTCCATGAACGTGTTTTGTTTGTTTTTATGACAAGAGCGTTTAGAATCTCCTGAGCGGGGACACACTTACGAGGAAGGCTTCCTGTGGACTCCTGCTGTCATTTCTGCTTCCCAGCCCAGTTCTTTACCAATAGGCACACCCCAGGCTCCAGCCTGCCTGGCTCGGACAACCCACAGGGACTCTGCCTGCTACCATTTCTCGCCATCTCCCAGACGGACTCAACTTCCACTTTCTGTTGCCTGACCCTTCCAGAGTTCCCGCATCTTCAAGGGCAGCTTCTCCCTCTGGAGCTATTACAAACACCCTGGTTACACACAGCCCCGCATCCTGGGTTTGTGTTCCGTCCTGTCCTAAAGCCAACCAGCAAAGGGAGTTTTAAGGACTTTTCCTTGTCTCTGTGCCCTTCAGTCCTCCCTCACCTCTACCCAGACTCTACTGGTACCTGAACTGGCCAAGTCACACCTAACCATGTATTACTATCCCATATGCAGGCATGGATGTGCACAAACGGGCGTGCTGGATTTGTACAGATGGGTGCGTATGTGTGCATGTGTTTACGTGTGTGTATGTATAGGGTGTCCCAAAAAATGTGTACACGCACTTTGAATAATGAAAAAGGCAGTGTTTATTAAAATACATTTCATTTTCAGAATCGAGCAGTCAGCTGTTAAAGTGTGCATTGCTTTGGGACACCCTGCATGTATGTATTTCCCATCTCCTTGCTAAGCGGCATATACTTTGTCAACGGTGTCTCCGTGATTCTCTGCTCTCAGAGAAGGGAGTAGGTAAGCAGGCAGAGTTTGAAAACAGAAAATAAACATTCACACGTGAACTGGGGAACTTCAGAAACAATGCTGTTTGCAGCCAACTGTCAGTATTTTAAGAGATATTTTCACAATATCTCTGCTACGTGAACGGCTATGTTTTCCTAGCAAACATCTATAAAAGCTTGCCAATTCCACTTTTGAAGCACTGGCGAAAAACTGCCTCCTAAGGATACGCGTCCTATCAAATACACAAGGCGATCTTAAGGATGAAAATAAAGCTACAAAATAGGAAAAAGTTGCTCAGCTCTAAACCGTGTGATGTTTGCAAATGCTTCAACTACAAAGATGGCATTTCCTATCAGAAAACAACCTTATTTAGAAGAGACTGGATTTTTTTTTTTCAGTTATGCCAAATACAAGGTGTTCAATAAAAGAATAATTATGAATCAGGCTGGAAAACAGTAAATCAAGATAGAAAAACCAGCCCTGGCTCAGCTGGTTGAGCATCGACCTATGAACCAGGAGGTCACGGTTTGATTCCCGGTCAGGGCACATGCCTGGGTTATGGGCTCCATCCCTAGTAGGGGGCGAGCAGGAGGCAGCCCATTGGTGTTCTGCTCTCACATTGGTGTTTCTCTCTCCTCTCCCTTCCTCTCTCTCTAAAAATTAATGAAAACATATCTATTTTTTAAAAACAGAAAAAACACACAGACATCACAATCCTAGAGAAAACTGCCATGATGGGTCATACCAATGACTCTAACGCAGAGCATGTTTTTGTCAGGGACACCCACAGGTGGCTCGGGGAAACAGTGACAGTTGTCCTTCGTGACGGTATGTATATGAAAGAAACACAGCCTAACATCTTCACAATAAAACACAACCCTGATATACTATCAAGGAAATAAGAAAAATGGAACCAGACGACGTTCTGCCTGATTGTGTCTTGTGAGTTTTTGGAAACACTTAGGGGAAAAAACTGGACACTAGTGTTGAGGGGTCGGCCAAGCTTACCATTGTCACATATTCCCCAGGGTTGCATGTAGACGCACACGCGTGTGAGGCGAGGGGCAGACTTAGCATGTTCCTCTGACACCGTGCTCAGAGTGACATGAAGCAGTTTACCAAGTGCCTTCAAAAAGCAATGAGACACATGTGCAAAGGCACAGAGCACGCTTGTTGAAGAGAAATTAAACAACGGGGGTCAAGTCGTTTGCAGGAAAAACAGCTGGGAGCATATGGCAAAGCAGAGTTCTCATCAGAGAACAGGACCGCAAATAAATTACAGAGCAGTGGCTGGGCGAGAAAACAGAAACGCAGTCCACAGAAAACAGCATTTCCCTGTAAAATATTCATTATCTGGAAGGAAATTAAACAGAGGTGCTTTAATTTAGACAGGAGAATGCTTCATGTAAAAACATCAGTGCCAAAACAAACAGAAATTAAAAAGGAAGGAACACACCCAGCTGGTGTGGCTCAGCGGTTGAACGTTGACGCATGAACCAAGAGGTCACAGGTTCGATTCCCGGTCAGGGCACGTGCCCAGGTCGCAGGCCCCATCCCCAGCAGGGGGCGAGCAAGAGGCAACCAATCAATGACTCTCATCATTGATGTTTCTCTCTCCCTCTCCCTCTAAAATAAATTTTTTTAGAAAGGATCGTGAGTCGGAGTGCACACTGCCAGCAATCCCGACGCTATGAAGAATGTTTTATTATTCGCATTAAGACCCAGCAGTTCAGGAGGGAGCCCGGGGCACAGCTCCGTCGCGTGCTGGTACAAATGGTTTCAGCACTGAGTAATAACAGTCCCGTCCACTGTCCGGATGGACCACAGTGTACCTTGGTTGCTTCCGACTGCTGGCCACGGGGAGCACAGCTGCTATAAACGTCTGCGTGCAGGTTTCTGCGTGGACATAAGTTTTCAGTTCCTTTGGGGAGATACCAACACGAGCGACTGCTGGACCCTATATTGAGAGGATGTCTGGTCTTGCGAGAAGCCAGCAAACTGTCTTCCAGGCAAACCGGCTGCACCCTGGGCACTCTGGCCGCACGCCTGCCGGCGCTGGGTGCACCGTGTCTGGATCCCGCCGCGCTCACAGTGAGCTCGCTCTTATTGTGACCTGCATGTCGCCGACGACGTGGGATGCGCAGCATCTTCTCATGAGCTCGCCTGCCATCTGTGCTCTGCTAGTTCTAACGGAGGGAGATGCCTGACAAAGGAACAGAAGTATCACGACAGGTACGACAGACAGGCTGTGTTCACGGTCTGACTGAAGTACAGGAATAAGGGAATGAATGATATTCAGAGGAATGGATTTCGAAATAAAAAATATAATCCCCTTGATCCAAGTCCCGCGGACGGGTTACCGCGATGGGGAAACCGCGACGTGCATTACTTGCAGGGTTTTCTTTAAAGGGGTGACGCAGATGAGTGGACATCCAGGCCCCTTCCTCAGGCAGAAAGGCAAAAAAAAAAAAAAGCGCTCTGAAGAAAGGAGAGGGGCTTGGTCAACCCTGCCACCTCGCCCAGGGCTCGTTTCAGGGAAATTTCCCCCTAAAATCTGGGTTTTGAATAGCATCTTAGTTCCAGATCCCTATCAGTTAAACAGAGAATGTGACGACTTGCGGGTGAGAGCTGGGCGTGCGACGGGTTCCCAGGGGCCTGGGGCAGCCGAGGGGTTCTCGCCTCACCGGCTGCTTTGAGTTCCCTTCACCCTATAAACAGGTAAAAACAGAGCAAAACGCTTCAGTGGTGCACAGCCCGAGACATGACCAGCGGGGTAAACTTACCCGCNAAGAGAAATTAAACAACGGGGGTCAAGTCGTTTGCAGGAAAAACAGCTGGGAGCATATGGCAAAGCAGAGTTCTCATCAGAGAACAGGACCGCAAATAAATTACAGAGCAGTGGCTGGGCGAGAAAACAGAAACGCAGTCCACAGAAAACAGCATTTCCCTGTAAAATATTCATTATCTGGAAGGAAATTAAACAGAGGTGCTTTAATTTAGACAGGAGAATGCTTCATGTAAAAACATCAGTGCCAAAACAAACAGAAATTAAAAAGGAAGGAACACACCCAGCTGGTGTGGCTCAGCGGTTGAACGTTGACGCATGAACCAAGAGGTCACAGGTTCGATTCCCGGTCAGGGCACGTGCCCAGGTCGCAGGCCCCATCCCCAGCAGGGGGCGAGCAAGAGGCAACCAATCAATGACTCTCATCATTGATGTTTCTCTCTCCCTCTCCCTCTAAAATAAATTTTTTTAGAAAGGATCGTGAGTCGGAGTGCACACTGCCAGCAATCCCGACGCTATGAAGAATGTTTTATTATTCGCATTAAGACCCAGCAGTTCAGGAGGGAGCCCGGGGCACAGCTCCGTCGCGTGCTGGTACAAATGGTTTCAGCACTGAGTAATAACAGTCCCGTCCACTGTCCGGATGGACCACAGTGTACCTTGGTTGCTTCCGACTGCTGGCCACGGGGAGCACAGCTGCTATAAACGTCTGCGTGCAGGTTTCTGCGTGGACATAAGTTTTCAGTTCCTTTGGGGAGATACCAACACGAGCGACTGCTGGACCCTATATTGAGAGGATGTCTGGTCTTGCGAGAAGCCAGCAAACTGTCTTCCAGGCAAACCGGCTGCACCCTGGGCACTCTGGCCGCACGCCTGCCGGCGCTGGGTGCACCGTGTCTGGATCCCGCCGCGCTCACAGTGAGCTCGCTCTTATTGTGACCTGCATGTCGCCGACGACGTGGGATGCGCAGCATCTTCTCATGAGCTCGCCTGCCATCTGTGCTCTGCTAGTTCTAACGGAGGGAGATGCCTGACAAAGGAACAGAAGTATCACGACAGGTACGACAGACAGGCTGTGTTCACGGTCTGACTGAAGTACAGGAATAAGGGAATGAATGATATTCAGAGGAATGGATTTCGAAATAAAAAATATAATCCCCTTGATCCAAGTCCCGCGGACGGGTTACCGCGATGGGGAAACCGCGACGTGCATTACTTGCAGGGTTTTCTTTAAAGGGGTGACGCAGATGAGTGGACATCCAGGCCCCTTCCTCAGGCAGAAAGGCAAAAAAAAAAAAAAGCGCTCTGAAGAAAGGAGAGGGGCTTGGTCAACCCTGCCACCTCGCCCAGGGCTCGTTTCAGGGAAATTTCCCCCTAAAATCTGGGTTTTGAATAGCATCTTAGTTCCAGATCCCTATCAGTTAAACAGAGAATGTGACGACTTGCGGGTGAGAGCTGGGCGTGCGACGGGTTCCCAGGGGCCTGGGGCAGCCGAGGGGTTCTCGCCTCACCGGCTGCTTTGAGTTCCCTTCACCCTATAAACAGGTAAAAACAGAGCAAAACGCTTCAGTGGTGCACAGCCCGAGACATGACCAGCGGGGTAAACTTACCCGCGGAGAACAGTCCCCAGGGTGGCCTGCCAACACTGCGGGCCGCCGAGGCATGGTGCTGGCCCGGCTGCAGACCGTCCCCGGTCCCCCGGGAACTGCCCGCCTTTACCGGGGCGTGCATCGGGCGCCCACAGGGATGGCACGGCTTCCGGTGAGTCGGCGAGGCCGGGATCGGGGCGCCCGTGGGCGTTTCACGGGTAGACACAGGGCGCCTCTGTTAGGTCAGGAGCCCGTGTTGAGCATCTAACGAACTCCTTGGGCTCGGCGCTCTTACGTTTTGGAGCCGACAACCACACGCACTGCCTCTTTGGAGACGGCTGTCACAGGTGAGACGTTTCCAGCAGGTCANGTCAGGAGCCCGTGTTGAGCATCTAACGAACTCCTTGGGCTCGGCGCTCTTACGTTTTGGAGCCGACAAGCACACGCACTGCCTCTTTGGAGACGGCTGTCACAGGTGAGACGTTTCCAGCGGTGTGTGCTGTGGTTTTCACCCAGATAACGAGCCTGGGTTTTCCAGGACTTCGTGCATGAGGTCGCCTTATCACATTATGCCAGAGAGCGTGTCCAGAAAGCTCAGGCCATTCCCTGCGGAAAGACAGTCCGCGCAGATCAGATGCACCCCGAATGAGCGGCGAGGGGCACAACTGTTTGCGCAGCAAGGAAGAGTCCTTAAACCTTGATCAATCTGAGCAAAACGGGATTTTGATAAGCCCTCCCTCCCGCTCCCAAGAAGCCGATTCTCTCCACACACTGAATGAGCCAGATGGCCTTGCTCACGGGAAATGTCTGGTTTCCACAATGCTCCAGGTTATATTTTCACTTCCCCCTAAATATTGCAGCTCTGAGTCCATGTGTCCCCTGCCGGGTCACAGGCCCCGATTCCACGCTCCAGCTCATCAGTTTCTCACCAGTTGCAATTCACAGGGATTTCTGTGTATCCAGGGTGCGTTATTTCTCTGCCAAAGGCCGGGGAGGCAAATATAAGTCGGACGTGGTTTCTGCTCTCCAGTCTAGTCCTGGAGAGACGTGCAAGCAAATAATTACAGTGCAGCGTGTGATGAATCGTGACAAAGGGGCACGAAGAACACAGAGGAGGGACACCCAGCATGCCCTGGAAGAATCAGGAAAACACCTGATATGGCATTAAATGTCCCTTTCAATTGTCCCCTTTCCTCAGACAATATCTGCAGAAATCTGACTTTTCTTTTAAAACATTAAAAAAAAAAAAATAGATTTCAGAGAGAGGGAGGGAGAGGGAGAGGGAGAAACATCCATGATGAGAGAGTCATGGATCGAATGCCTCCCGCATGCCCCCTACTGGGGATCGAGCCCGCAACCCGGGCATGTGCCGTGACCAGGAACCGAACCCTGACCTCCTGGATCCTAGGTCGATGCTCAACCTCTGAGCCACGCCAGCCAGGTTCCCTTCCTTTTTTAAATGAGGTAATTGTAAGAGGACACCTGTCTTGGACTCCAACCCTCATAAGAGATACACTATCCTTTTGTGAATCACAGGAGCCGATTCTTTGTAACACATTCCCAACAGCAACAGTGTGGCCACTGTAATTCTGAAACCAACACAAGTGTCCGCCTCGCGCAGGTGTCTGTGAAGNGATACACTATCCTTTTGTGAATCACAGGAGCCGATTCTTTGTAACACATTCCCAACAGCAACAGTGTGGCCACTGTAATTCTGAAACCAACACAAGTGTCCGCCTCACGCAGGGTGTCTGTGAAGCACGTACAGGAAGGACTCTCACGCGTATCCTCAGCGATCTCTGATTTCACCCGTCGTCACACTCGAGCAGGACTGGGAGAACTCCAGTCTCCCCGGGGGGAGCCGGATCTCCGGGGTGTCACGCAATCCCTGGATTCCACAGCGGGCGGAGTCACTGACGCTGGGGGCCATGAACTTCTGTCCGTGGTTCCAGGCCGATGTATTCAATGCACTTTCCCAGCTCTGTACTTCCTTCTGAGTGGGTCATCCTGGAGCAACACGCCCCGTGATGAGAAGAAGCCCTTACTATTGTCATGTGGAAATAGCCACGTCCGTGGGTTTGTACGTGTACCGAATACAGACTCTCATGTGTCCTGCGAAAGCCGGCTACAGTCTGAAAGCATCTTAGTTATTCCGGGGCAAGCACACTCTGGGTTATGCGGCCCTTGATGCCGAAACTGAATCTGATGGCGGCCGAGGAAGTCTCACGCAGCGAGACCGCAACACCTCCTGTCGGAGAAACGGTAGCTCAGGTCTCCTGGTCAACGTCAAACTCGTTTTGGTCAGAGGTTTCGGAAACGCTGTCACTGGGCATGTCACGTCCAGCAGGGTGTCATGTCCACGATGGTCAGAAACATAGTAGTGAGACAGCTAATAAAGCTGTTGATTGTTTTTAAACCTAATTTCCTTAATAACAACTGACAGCGTTCACAAGAAGGTGTTTTCAGCAATTATATTCATTTATTATTTTTTAATTGATTTTGGAGAGGAGCAGCGAGGGANCTTAATAACAACTGACAGCGTTCACAAGAAGGTGTTTTCAGCAATTATATTCATTTATTATTTTTTAATTGATTTCGGAGAGGAGCAGCGAGGGAGAGAGAGACATCAGTGTGAGAGAGATGCATCGACTGGTCGCTTCCCATACCCAACCTGGAATGGAACCCGCAACCTGGAGATGTGCCCTCACCAGGGCTCGAACCCGCAACCGTCTGGTGCACAGGACGATGCTCCGACCGACGGAGCCACCCGGCCGGGGCTCAGCCGTTGTGAACAGTGATCCAGTGTTGTCCACGTCAGCAAGAGAGGTGGGAGGAGAGACCTCGGCACTGCGAGACGTGGGAGCGTTACATATTTCCATTTCAGAGTCCTTATTTTGATGAAAAATCGAGGCATTCTAATTCTCAGCCTGACACCGCGGAAGCACCTGCCTGCCCGTGTGGTGTTCAGCATGTGACTGCAAAGCAAACCCTGACAGCCCGGGGCAGACACTATCCTTCAGTCCTTTTAGAGAAAACACAGCCTCCCACAGCCTCCGTCCGTCACCGGCAGGGGCCACACAGCCTATCATCACTGAGAGGGGAAGGGGGGCTCATCCGGAGGGACCCTGGGCAACGCGTGTCAGCTGGAAGAAACCCAGGTAAACGCAGAGCTACCCAAATTATCAGACAGAGCCTGTTGGTCCAATTCAGTCATTTTTGTCCCTGACTACACATTGGGGGCACGCACACGCACGCACACACACACACACACACACACACGCACACAGAGCATACACATGCGTCCACGTGCACATANCTGTTGGTCCAATTCAGTCATTTTTGTCCCTGACTACACATTGGGGGCACACACACGCACACACACACGCACACACACACACACACACGCACACAGAGCATACACATGCGTCCACGTGGACATGNACACACACGCACACAGAGCATACACATGCGTCCACGTGCACATACACACATTTACCTGTACATGCAGGTACGCATATATGTTTCGGTGCCTAAGCCCGACTGCAGACCAACTACATACGACCTCCGGAAGCAGAGTCAATCTTGGGCATCCACAGTTTTGCCCCAAGTGATATAACCGGGCAGCTGGGTTGAGAGCCAGTGCACTGAGTAATCCCCAGGGCCCTTTCCCGCTGTCCCGTGCCGGGGACATCATGCTTGAGAACCGATGCCCAGCACCTGCTGCTGTGAGTTTCCTAAGGGCACGCTCCTCTCAGTCCTGCAACACAGAATATTCCACGCCAGTCAGGTCACCACCCACATCCGTTTACGAACAGCGGGCAGTTCCCAGGACACTTTCTCAGCCTCGCCGATGAGCTCGGGAACCGGGACAAGCCACGTGACGTCCCTACATAGCGTCTCTGAAGTTAGAATGACGCTGACACTTGCTCTGTCGTGTCTTGGCAAGTGCCGCGTGAGATTTTACACGGCAGGCCTTAGACTAGGCCCAATAAATGTTAACAATCACTAGGTTTCTTTTTTAAATAATGTTTTCATTGATTTCAGGGAGAGGAAGGGAGAGGGAGAGAGAGAGAAACATCAGTGATGAGAGTCATGGATCGGCCGCCTCCTGCACGCCCCCTGCTGGGAATTAAGCCTGGAACCCGGGCCTGTGCCCCGACCGGGAATCGAACCCTGACCTCCTGGTTCACAGGTCGACACGCAACCACTGAGCCACGCCGGCCGGGCATTCTTATTGTGACTGTTACTCCGTCTCTTCCTCTTACCCGCCCTTTTAGTACTAGAATTACTATTACTCCCACTAGAACTAACAACAGTCTGCTGTAGGCAGAGGAAATGGCCCTTGTACTAGACGAGCTGAACTGCAATAGAACCCTGTGAGCTCATCTCTACCCTCTTCCACACCCCTTCTCAAAAACAGGCTGCAACACGAATCCTCTCCAAACGGGGCAGGACATGGCCGCAGAGCCCCCCGAGATGGGCCCTAATGAACCCCAGTAACCCTGGGCACAGCCAGCAAGACATCCAACTCTGGGCAGATGCTAAGATGGGTTTAAAAACTGGGGTGACCAGCAGCCTTGGAAACAAACCTGCCTTAGACGAAGAACCTGATGGTGAACCTCAAGGAGCACGGTGGGGGGGCTGGCCGCCGCCTACTGCGGCACCTCAGGACCTGCCGTGTTTAAATCGAGGCCACGCTCTCCTGGGGAGGCTGCCAGTCAGCGTGCAGGATGGTCATCACGCAAGAGTCTGGGCATCTCTGCCCAATAAAGTCCCGCTGTCCAGGGGATCTTGTACTGGGCTCCCCAGGGACTTGCTGAGGCCGCCTGGGCCTCTTCCTGCCCAGGGCTCCCCCACCCCCCAACCTTTCTCGGGTAGGCGGTGTGAAGACCTCCTGGTCAAAACAACACCGCACGCACCCCCATCGCTTTCAAACAACCCTGACAAGGGCGGCGGGCTTGTGCCCCATTCCACTGAGAAACAATAGAAAAGATATATTCTGAGCAAATGTTCTGTTTCAAAATTCTATTGTTTTATGACTTCTTCTAAGTGTTTATTTATTTGGAAAGTCCCACGGCCTTATAGGACTGACTAGTATGTCTTCCTAATGGAGGGAGCGCCTACTACATGAGGCTTAAGGAAAAAAAAAAAGTGGTGATGGATCATGTTCTATTCATGCCATCACTGTTTTGAAAATTAAATTTGTTATGCCACATTAGTGCAGAGATACGAATAGTTTAATAATGCCAGATCTATAAATTGCAAGAAAAATGAATTAGAATTCTAAAACGCATTCGGTTCCAAGGAATTGGATTTCTCAAGGATATATTTTTCATTTAAACTGAGAAAATGTATTCTAAATTACTGCATTTCCATTTTAACCACATAATTTCACTGTCACTTTAATAATTCATATTTTTCAACATAGTTAAAAAAACTTAAAAATAATCAAAAGCTTCACGCAAATATTAACCTCTTTGAAAATATTAGTTTGATCTAGTAATGTAGATGTTTCTTATATTAATATTATTGTGGTTAAGGGTAATAACATAGTTGCCATGGCACAAACATTGTTACGATGTAACACAGTTACTATGTGACGCATACCATTCTATGCTCTTTGCATATATTAGCTCACTTGGCCTCAGAAACATTTAAAATTCTAAGTATAACCATTATCCCCTTGTACAGATTAACAAGCATTTTACAACTACTTTGATCTGGTAAAGTAAATGTTATGAATGTTAAAATGGTGACGTTCAGGACAATAACAACCCAATAAACAGTTCCTAGTCCATGACATACACTATTCCACGCTCCTTACACATACACACGTAACCTCTTACACAACCTATAACTTAGGTGTAATTATTACCCACCATGTGTAAATTAAGGAACTGAGGAACAGAGAGGTTAAGTAACCTTCCCAAGGTCACGCAGCTGAAAGTGGTAGAGCCTGCATTTGAACCAGGCACTGCATGAACCACGAAATACCAATGCTGACTTTCCTTAAGTCACATCAATTACATGTCTGGTCTGTATGTGTCAGTATGTGATGTATCAATACACATGCAGATCAAACTGGTTTGATTTTAATGGGTGCATGTGAATTTTAAAAACCAAATACATATGGCCCTTGTCCAGGTACTCACCCGAAATACCAGAGGCATGTTCAACACGGTTGGCAGCCCGGCCGCTCTTGCTCAAATGAGTCTCACGTGGCTGAAGAGCTCCTGGAAGGGATACAACGAATCAGCAAGTGACACAAGAAAATCAGTGTCAGACTCAGACGGATCTGGTTTCAGAGTGAACAGGAATTTTCTACTTGTGCATCAGTCCTTTTGTCGGACCCCTGGTAGTCCATTATTGGTACGCAGTCATTGAGCACCTACTGTATGCCATTCCCCCTGCTGAGCCTCGGGGCTTTTAAAAGTTAAGTATGATTCTAATACTCTACGTAGACCTCGCAGGTACCTACGGCCTCCACTGCAGCCAAGAGAGAAAGAATCCAATTTGCATCAAGAGTTGAACATTTGCCTCTCTACGGGGTATTCAATAAAGGACCCTAAACCTCTGAGGACAACTCCAGAACACCGGGCTCCTTTGTCTGTGGTTACGATAGAGACCTGAATGGGGCGCTTGCCAAACGCTTCCCCCCACCCTGGGCTTCCACTGCCCACTATTCAGCTTAGAAGGCCTAGATTTTGTTGTTTTATCAAATGGTTAATTGGTTTTATTTTTAAATTAAGTTATAAGAGTTCTTTATATATTTTAGTCTTTTTTTAAAAAAAATTATCTTTATTGTTGAAAGTATGACAGATGTCCCCTTTTTTCTCCCTCCACCTGGCATCCACCCCTGAAGTCCTGCTGTTTTCACAAGGGACCTGACCCAGGGGCTGGGCAGGTAGGGGACCCTGTATCACTTTGCGCCACCTTCCACTTAAGGCGTGAATTCCTGTCCTGCAATGGCCGGGTGTCAGGCTTCTCCCTCAATCCACTGCAGCCTGTGTGTCCGGTCCATGGTCCTATCCACAGGGACTGTGCCAACCCCACAGACCGAGCACTTTCAGCGGAGACTGCGAGTGCTCCCATTCACAGAAACGCATTCACAGACTACGGAGACAGTCCGTAAGTCTCGCCATGGCTACGGTGAGCAGAACACTTACTGGAAAGCACGGGTCCTCACAGGGGTGCTAGAAACCTATCATTACTTCACAGATGACCTCCCTCTGCATGCAGGTCGTGCTTCTAGCACCGAGGCCCACGGCAGGACGTAATGAACGCATTTACCAGGACACTCTTCCCAACAGCCTGGTTGTTAAAACTGGTGGGGAGATATTTAGGTGGTAAAAAAGCCAACCGAAGATGGAACATCAATATGAAATATAATCATGTGGGGATTATTCTGGGCTAAAATGATACTCACGAGTCAAGTACATGTCAGAAATGTGCAGCCTAAAGACCCCCGACTCTTAGAAACACGTCCGGGGCTCGAGCTGCCGTCTGATGCTGGTGAGCACCAACCAGTAGGAGACAGGCCCTGTTCCATCTTGGCCAAAGGAAAAGGTCATAAATGCTAGCGCAATGCCTCAGGCAGTACTGACAGGAGGCGGTCGAACATATTCCAAAAGCATCTATGAAGGCGGCGAGCCCAATGCAGGCCTAGGAAAGTAAGTGGGGCTGCATGGAACGGAAAAAATGTGCCAAGACGTTCCAGCAAGAAAAACAGTGAGTTAAAAATGCAGTTCATTTTAAGATTGAAAAAAAAAAATACTCGTGCCTAGTCCAGTCCTTGTCACACATTAAATACTAAATAAAGTTAAAGAGTGAAGTGTGTGTGTGTGGGCAGGGGAAAATTAACCAAAGAACTTATGTGCATAACTCATGGACACAGACAATAGTGTGGGGAAGGCCTGAGGGGGGCCGGTGGAGGGGTCAATGGCGGGAAAAAGGGGGCATCTGTAATAGTTTCAACAATAAAGATAAATTAAAAGTAAAGGGTGAGANAGGGGGCATCTCTAATACTTTCAACAATAAAGATAAATTAAAAGAAAAGGGTGAGCAAAAATATGAATATGAGTGATTAGGTATATGATTTATTTGGAGTTCAGACCTTGGTCTGGGAAATGAGCCCCTTTTTGATCGTGGCTCCTAATGGAAATTACGCTCTCTTTACAATAACCTGCGTTACGACGGCTTCCAGGAACAGGCCTGACCAGGAACAGCTGCTGCTGTAACTGACAAATGGAGAAAGGGCAGCTTTGCATCGTCTGAAGGACAAGAACAAGGTGGGCCCATCTGTACAAACTGTGGCCCATAAGCAGCCAGGCCAAGGACACAGCTGTTTTGCAACAAAGTATACAGGGCAGAGAACACAGGCCGCCTTTCATCCGGGCTTTTAAAATATTTAGGAGTCTGTGATGCATTTGGTACCATCACCGACCACACCAGCACCTGCTACCAAAGATCTGATCGCCTTCTCCATAAGAGATATGTTTGAAGTGTGGCCATTTTGAAGGGTTACCTGCTCTGTCTTACAGCTGTACACAGTATCAACGGCAAACACCGTAACTCAGTCACTCGGCTACAATAACAGAAACACGGAAAATCTCTACCATCTCTATATTTCAGTTCCATGTGCAATGCTATACCGGGAAGCTTTCACAGGTAAAAGTAGGCTTATAAATAAATGCTACATTTTAAAATTGTTTCTGTTTAATAGAGATAACCTGATACTGAGTTTCTACGCCGTGTGAGGAAGACCTATAGGTTAGTATATCCTCTTGCATGTAGCCAATCATAAAGTACACTCAAGAAGCTCTGTTTTTGTTTACAGATGTTATCAAAGTCTTTTGTTATATATATAAGTATATGTGATATATTACATATATAATTCATATACTTTTTGAAAAATATATTCTTCCATTTAGAAAGGCTTCACCCAGTGCGCCTTTATTTATTCTGGCAAGGGCCATTTGGATATTTATAACATCATTCTCTGGTCATACAAAACTGTCAATTTAAAAATTAGCTATGAGAAAAGCTCGTAGACTTATTGAATTTTGAGTCCTGCCTGCAGTTTCCTTGGCCGGGGCAGACCAAATGATTTTGCAGGCCATATATTGCCTGCGGGCCAGATGATCCCCATCCCTGCTTTAAGTAGTAGGTTCTTCTAGGTGATTCTTGATAGAAAACAGGTGCACTGGGGGAAAAAAAAAACATTCAGTGAGAGCTGTTTTGTTTGCAAGATTTAAAAACTGTTTTAAGGCGCTTAAGAAAATACAGTGGGCACAGTGAGGAAGTGAATCAGGGACGATCAAAATGCATTCACAGGCTCAAGAAATGCCTGCACACCTAAAACCTAGGACCTAGGCCAGCTTGCCTCTCTCTTTTTCTCCCCCCGCCCCCCAAGGGCCTCTACATTGGGGCTGGTTCCTTCCACCTGGTGGCATTCATGGAAAACAGCTGTGCTTTGCCCTGAGCTGGGAAGCGGTGCAGCCTCTCTCTCTGTGGGTTTGGGTGGGAATTTCTACTACATGACTGCAGTAGACTTCCCTGGATTCTGCGGTGCTCTCAAAATAAGGGGATGCTTCCACTAGGTGCAGAGGGCCTGCCGTCATGAGTAATACCCTGATAGCCCCACAGAAAGGGCACAGCTGTGAGCTCCAATACTGTGGTGACTACACTCCCCTTCAGTTAAAGTGCATGATGCCTCTAGTCCTCACAGGTCATCAGGGTCAGCATGCAAGATTCTGAGAGGGGATCACGGGGATGAGGTATCAGCTGCAGGGGCCGGGTGAGGGCGTTGCAGGGTCAACGACTGCACATCCCACGATGGTATTAAATACATGTTAAGAGGCCAAGATTGGAAAGTAAAATTACACCCTCTGGAGAGTAGACTGGAAGAAGGGATTACACTCAGAGATTCTGAGATGAGGTCCCGTTCTTGGGGCAGAGGTGAGGCAAGCCTCCCTTACCCTGCACCTTTTGTCTTTTTTATGGGATATGTGATAAATCCCGTGGGAGGAAGCTGGAGACAGGGAAAGGAGCAGTCAGGCTGGAGCACCGTGTTTTTATGCCAAATGCTCTTGCAGGTACATCCCAGGGCGAAGGGTTCCCCTCTCTCCAGCTCACAGCCCACATCCAGGGCAGCTGTGCATGGCTTTCCTCACAGCTCTGTAGTTACACAGCCGATGTCTGCCTGCCCACTAGACAACATCCTGATGGAGAGGAACTGAATTCTTGTCAATTTTGTACGCCCGGTACCAGCGCAGCGTTTGCTATGTGATGGATACTTAATAAATGTTTGATAAATGACTAAATAAACAAGCCACTCCAAAACTAAATTACCAAAGAAAATAGAGAAGCGAAAGCAAGCGAATCAATTACTGAGAAAATGTTCTTATAGGGCAATTAAGTTCTTATATACTCCCATTACAGGAGTAATTTACTTAAATCCAGCATCCAAAACAAATATTTATTGATTATATACTATGCTGCAAGTGTTATTCTTGGTGCTGAGATTACAAAGACAGATGTGAACAAATTCGATATTCTTCCTTACCTCAGGGAGATTTTAATCAATTGCATGAAAATATACGGGGCGAAGGTGGGAAACAAGAAGAGAGCTTGAAAGAGCACGGACGTTTCTGAACAGTTTTCCCATGAGACTTAAATTCAAGATCTCACTCACCCGTGAGTGTGGTAGTAACAGGAGAACTGGCCTCTCCTTTAAGCACAGGATCCCGCAGTCGTGGGGTTCACCAGGCTGCCCAGTCATAGCTTTTCCTAGTCTTCTGAACCAACCCGCTGGCAGTGCCCAAATACAGGGCATAATCCCTCGGCCACCAGCAGCCCAGAGTCAGGCTCTGTTGACTTGTCTCTCCTGAAACTTTCGATGTCACCACATCGCTTTAAACCACCCCACCCCATGGGGTAGACCAGGGCTTCAAACTTTGGGTTCTTCCTTTCTAATAGGCTTCTTCTGCGGGAAAACCACGCTCTACCACGGCGAGAGGACCGTGGGAGGGTGAAGCGTTTGTCCTTCCGTGGTTCCCCGATGTACACAGCCACGTATCTTCACGAAATGCCAGAGGTTGGTAGTTGCAGAGTCATGCAGNTCCCCGATGTACACAGCCACGTATCTTCACGAAATGCCAGAGGTTGGTAGAGTTGCAGAGTCATGCAAATGTGCTGAGGCATCAGGGTGTCTTGGGGATCAGCTGTTTCTGAGGCTATTTATGAAAATGAGAAGCAACATCTCCACATCACCCCATCCCAGACTCTCGCCTGCAGTGNAGTTGCAGAGTCATGCAGATGTGCTGAGGCATCAGGGTGTCTTGGGGATCAGCTGTTTCTGAGGCTATTTATGAAAATGAGAAGCAACATCTCCACATCACCCCATCCCAGACTCTCGCCTGCAGTGTTGTAGGCCAGAGGCGGGGTGGCTGGCACCCCGAATAAAGGAGAAAGAAAAAGCCTAAGGTCAAAGCCATTCGGGGAGCTCCCCCCGACTTCCCTGTTGCTTAAGGCAAGAATGAGTCTTGCACTTTTCAGATTCTCTTCTGTAGCTTCAGTGAGCAGTAAAACCGTCCTTTAAAAGAGAACCTGGAAAAAGGAAATAAAAAATGTGAACCATACAATAGCAATAAATACACATCTATCGACAATTGAATCTAAAAATCAAAATAAACGAACAAGCCGGAGGGCCACAGACTCACAGGTGCGCAGAATATTTTGGTGGTTGCCGGATGGGAGGGGCGTGGGGGGGATGGGTGGAAAAGGTGAGGGGACTGAGGGCTGCAAATTGGTGGCTACAGGATGGTCACAGGGATGGAAAGGGCAGCACCCGGGGCACAGTCAGCAATATTCTAATGACTACGGATGGGGCCACGTACTGCGGATATTTAGGGATGATCACTTAGTAAGTTATAGAAATGTCTAATCGCTGGGCTGTACACCTGAAACTAGTATCACCTTGTATGTCCACTGTAACTGGAAAATAAAAAAATGATGTAAAAAAAAAGGGGGTGGGTGGGTACCTGGAGAACCTTCAGCCAGGGAGTCTGAGATTCCTCCAGGCCTGCTTATGAGGACTGCACGGGGAAGGCCCTGCTTATGGAGAGAAGGAATGGCTCAGAGGCCTGTGAGCTTGGGCGTGGCCACCGTTTAAAGCTGCTTCTCAAGTCTTCCCCGAGCCGGCGGTGCCACCGGAGGAAACAGCTTCTGCGCGCGGCGGGCACGCTCCGCGGCAGGACCTTGACAGTTCAGCCCAACTCGGGTTCTGTCCCCCGTTTTTTGCACTTGCAGCGCCTGGGGAGCTCAGAGAGGTTGCGCCACCTGCCCAGGGTCACACAGCGGGAGGCTGGCTGAGGACGCGCCCGCTGCCAGGGCCGCAGCCCCGCCTTTACCATAACGTCTGAGTGAAAACAATCCCTGGTGGGCCTTGAAAAGGGGCCTGGCATCCCGGGCTCAACCCAGTCCCCGAGCCCGCCTTCTGAGACGGCGGCGCCGCCCTGAGGGGGGCGGGGGCGAAGGAAGGACTTCCCGGAAGCAGATGCCACGACGGCCAAGCACTTCCGGTGCGCCGGCCCTGACGGTCGCTTGGGGTCAGCGGACTATTGCGCTAAACGGCGCATAGGGACTGAAACGCATCTCTAGGTGTCCGAAGAACTCAGGACTCCAGACGGGACAGTCCTGCCCCGACCCGGACTCGGGGACACTTGCACCCAGCGGCCGACCGCGCGCCGCCATTGAAGCAGAGGAGGCGGGGCAGAGCGGACTGCCGCGTCGGCGCGATGACGTCACAAACGCGAGCACGTAGGCGGGCCCCTTCCGCCCGACCTCCTGGCCTTGGTCCCGCCCCTCGTGGGCGGGGCCTGGTTGAGTGACGGCCGGGCCCCGTCTTCCGGTTTAGGAGAGGAGGCGGTGGCGTTCGACTCCCGAGCTGCCTCAGGTCTGCATTGGTAGGGCGGGGCCTCATTGATGGACGGCCCGGCCCCGCCTTCCAGGCATTCCACACGGAAGTGCCTCAGGTCTGCATTGGTAGGGCGGGGCCTCATTGATTGACGGCCCGGCCCCGCCTTCCAGTCATTCCACACGGAAGTGCCTCAGGTCTTCATTGGTAGGGCGGGGCCTCATTGATGGACAGCATGGCCCCACCTTCCCGGCATTCCACACGGAAGTGCCTCAGGCGCGCTTTGGTGGGCGGGGCCTCGTTNGACGGCCCGGCCCCGCCTTCCAGGCATTCCACACGGAAGTGCCTCAGGTCTGCATTGGTAGGGCGGGGCCTCATTGATGGACAGCATGGCCCCACCTTCCGGGCATTCCACACGGAAGTGCCTCAGGCGCGCTTTGGTGGGCGGGGCCTCGTTGATTGACGGCCCTGCCCCGCCTTCCGGGCATTCCACACGGAAGCGCCTCAGGCCTGCTTTGGCGGGGCGGGGCGTCATTGATGGACGTCCGGGCCCCGCCTTCCGGTTCGGGACGCGGAAGTGCGTCCAGCCTGCAGGGGTAGGCCGAGCCGCCTTGAGTGACGGCCGGGCCCGCCTTCCGGTTCCGGAC